TTAACCAGAACGAAATTCCGGTAATTGGAAATTTTTTATTCGTTCATATTTCACCAGAACTTGGTTAATCCAACCAAACGTTTCTTCCGTATGCGAGAAAAATCAAGCTGCGTCTCTACCTGGTGGGTTTCGCAGAAAGGCTGTATATGTTCATAAAAAAAAAAACAAAAACAAAATGCGATTTTCACATTCGGTTTTATATTTTTATACTTCTTGAAACGTTAAATTGTTGAAGATATTTGTATATTACTTGGAAATAATATAAGCAACAATAATACAATTAATAATTTCAAGGTAGATTATTATGACAGGAAAAATGAAGTGAAAGACATGAGTCGACAGGTAAAAAATCTAGTCAGGCCGCGTGCTATTGGAGATGCTCGAAATGTATGTCGTCGTTAAATCGTAACAATATAAACAAGGAATTAAACATAGTCCTCAAAATTTGTTATCAAGCAGTTTATAGTTGTCAGCCGACTTTTTGGTCAACATTAATTACATTTAACGCGGAAGCGCGCATTTTCCGCTCTTTCGTGATGAATTGCGGAGGACACGCAGGCGGTTCGATTCTGCGGTCGCCACTAGACACTACATATGCGATTTCTACGATTATGGGAAAGATCCAATAGGGACGAATAGAGAACATCGTCGTAGAAGCGTCGCGTCCGCGGTAGCGCTAATTAAAAGCGCCTTACGTTACACTAAGTATTAGTCTCGCGGCCAAAGGATGATTAGTCCAATTATGCCGCACGAATTCTTGCGCAACATTTATGGGAAAATAATGAGTGGTTCACGGGGAAAATGGCGTGATTACTTCATGAGTGGTAATTGCTTGGGGAGTAACATAAAGGTATCAAGGTGCAGCATCCATCGTGAAACAGATCTGCGGCGCGCACGACAGTGTCGCAATTGCAGCGTGTGAATACATCCATGCACCACGCTGTACGATTGAGTTATTAATGGATGTTACCGTGCACTGGTAAAATAGTACAGTGTGCACACTGTCCTACAATACAAGTCCATAGATTTCGGTTGTTGGAATATGAAGTAACATACGTTTATCTGATCTGTCATTTGCACCATCTCATTAGTGTATTAGTGTATTAATTACTTAAAACATCAGACATCAGATGCTGCAGAAATTGTAAGACAAGTGAACTTCTATGATAATCAATTGATTATTATCTTATGATAATTAAACTATGAAATAAAAATATGCACAGAAAGAAAGAACGTTCTAACTTGAAAATATCTTTATTTCTTATGTGCAAATCTCTTCAAACGAGATCACATAGCGTTAAGTGAAGGTGAGTTTTTTACATTGATACATTTTATAAAATTCAACGAAAAAAAGAATTCTTATCGTTTAAAAATACTTTTCATGAATGAAGAGCTTAAAATATTAGACTGAAATTATAATGTTCTTGAATGTCGAAAGGAGATATAATTATCATTAAAATAATTATATTGCATTTCTTATGAGATACTATTCTAATATTCAAGTAAAATTTTTTTAAATTCACCGTTAAACTTTAAGACTTTAAAGTTCTCCTAACAAAATTATATTTCGTAGCTTATATATGAAACAATGATTGTTAACTCGAGTATATTAATTTTGAGTGAATACTATTTTCTTTTCAATATACATTGAGTGTTTGATAGGCGACAAATTTCGGAAATATAAATACATCTCTAATGAGAGAATTACAATGAAAGCCGTTTATAAAGTTCCCAAAATCGACGACAGAGCGATTTGGCGACTCAAGTTTCAACAGCAAGTAGCGTCGCGCTTTTTTACCGGTATATTCAGGAAGATGGTGTTTTTCGCGTTTAGGATAAGGACCGACGACAAATATTGATTGTCTGGCGCGCACCTTAATTGGAAACGAAGCTTCCGAGGGGATTGACACGCAAGCCGTCGCGATGTGATGCATAGTCACCGCGTGAATATAATAACGGCTGGAAGGAGTGAAATGCGGATCTCGAGCCTTTAGAAATTCGCCGCGACGTGAACTCGACAGCTACTCGATAAATGCGATGCAGGCGAGGCTGCAACGAGACGCTCGGCCGATAATCGATTGAACATTTGTTCGGTAGACTGGAAGTGGCCGATACTCGAGCAGAGGCAAAAGTGACGCGCGAGCACGACATTTTCTCGTCACGCGAGCGGAGAGTGGCACCGATTTGTACCGAATCGACAGGGACATCGTCTTGTTCGCGTGGCGAACAGGACGGAAATCGCGTAAGTGTCGCGAGACGCGTTTGCCTCGGAGGAGACTTTCCCTGCGATGCTCCCGGTGTCGCATCTTCGCGCTCTCTACACGCAAGCGAGATTGATGTTCTACATTTTTCAGCTCGCGCCGTGTAAAGCGGATTATAGCCGCAACTTCATTAATATTAACCAAGCATATCGCCCCGCGAAACCGACGTTCCTGCACACTCGTAAAGCGTACATTAATGCCGCAGAATTTTATCAGGGCCAACGCAATAATGCAACGAGCGTTTACGTTCAAGGAAGGCGCTATCTTTATTTCAAATATTAAAGCGATATAATTAATTTAAAAGCGACTTAATAGCGATTTAATATTTTAAATATTAACGTTGTCTTTTGAAAAGCTCTCTCTCTCTCTCACACACACACACACACATCCACACACACATACGCATACTTTCTCTCTCTCACGTTTCAAGTACCAAAACTGCAGTAAAAGTATGCCTCACACTGAGGCATACTTTAATCCTAATAGTCACAGTCTTATAGTCGATTGATGACATCTCGATCTTTTCATCAGACGATGATTGAGATCGCTGTATTTCAATCAGATGTTTTTATGCTCCCTGAATTGCTCAATTTAGAAACGCCAGTGTCAAGCGAGATATTAACTTTCTGTACACGCTTTCGAATCTACTCGCAGTCATCTAACGCGTGGCTCTGTCTTGCTTCGCTCCGGAGCGAGTGAGCGCTCGCAGCGGATCTTTAGCAGATCCTTATCCGTCGCGCGGATATACGATACGCTCGCGAATCGTGCAACCGCAGATTCCGCGATGTCGTAATGTCGGTCGCGACGAATCTCACGCCGCTTGATCCTTAGACGGGACATACCGCGCCGGTTTTACGAGAGAGACTGCGGCGACGACGGTGCCGCTAATTTTTTTTAGGCATTGATCTCCATTGGAGCCTCGTAAAGCCGTGTCTCGCACGCAAATCGCTACTGTCAGTGAATAATAAATGCTATTTTTTTATGTGGTCATCCCGGTTATTCCATACGACTACTTTGTTCCACTCGTTTGGAATGCTTTCACTTCCGAATGATTGGCAAATCGCGCGTGAAAACACGCTCGTCGAGCGGAAGCTCGCAATTGTCAAACGGATGTGACTTAAACATACATGATGCTTCCGATTTTTTCTTTAATCGGGCTATGATCAAGAAACTTTCTGTTGTTAAAATAGTATCTAAAATGAAAGAGAAAACGAAAGGATTTACAAGGACTTACAAAGCAAATACTTAAAGAAATAATAACTAAAAAATAAAACATTTATTTAGTAGATACTTTAGTAGGCTACTAACATATTTACTGAAATCTATATTTTTTTACTTAAATAGAATAAACAACAACTCCATTGAATAAATTTTTTTTCTCAGTGCAGAAAGTGCAATTAAAAAATATTTTACTATAAAGAATTTTCAAGTTCGTTCAGTTCCTCATCGCATTCAGTTCCAATCTGAAAATTTTTTATAGTAAAATATTTCTTTAATTGCACTTTCTGCACTGAGGAAAAAATTTATTCGGTAGATATTGTGAACATATTTACTTATATTGATAGAAGATTTTCTTTGAATAAAAAATATACATTTTCTCAAAACTTCAATTTTTTCAGTTGTTTATTCAATTATATATATATATATATATATATATATATATATATATATATATATATATATATAATTTACTCATTCTTATCCATTAATAATTATTATTGCAGGTCAATTTATCAATTATTTTCAATGTAGATGGTAAAGTCAGTTCAATTTGAGTAATTTGCACAGCTCCTATGATTAGAGCGAAACCGGTTTTGCAACTGCCGGTAGACTGCCTCTGTTACTTTACTGTTAAGTAGATCTCTATTTGTAAAATTGTAAAAGTTTCTGAAACTTTTCGATATATAATATCTACATATGTGTAGATATTGAAGTCAAAACATTTAACTAGTCCTGATTTGCGCGATATAAGAGCGACTTGCTGTCGCCTCGAGAAATAAGAAATAGGATTAGAAATACAGTGGTCCAAACGACAAACTAGTTCAGCTTTTCTCGTACGTAACATTTCACTCGTTCTACTATTGCACACCTACACATTGTCATATACTGATATTTACGCGATTCCTTGATTATTAATGCACGATAGCGGACTAGACTTTCGTTACACATTACAAGACACAGTTTCTCCATCCGCAAAGATCTCGAGTGAGAGTCTACGCGCGGTTAGCGGACTATATGTGTTTGAATATTCCGAGCTCGTTCGAACGGTTGCAGGAAACTTTCGTAATTACCAATACATAGGCGCGTATAATAGCACCGATGGTAATTATCGTCGTGCGAGCGTCGTGTACCGAAGATTTCGTCGCGGATAAGAGCACCGTCTGTCGTGTTTATCATTTTATTGGCAAGTTTCATTCCTGGACAAGGTCTCACTGAGCAACGAAAGGTTTTCCAGTGCTGCTCCGGAATATTTACGCTTTGTGAGCAGCTAAAAGCATTATAGAACAATAAAGGTATCTCGTTACAATAAATATTTTATACAATCGCGATGTTTGATGTGGGAGGAAATTCTCCATGTAGAAATGTATCTATGAACATGTTGCACATGATTTATCTTTTCGAGATGGCAATTATTGACTCGTATTGTTCCTCATTGTAAACCTTTTGATTGTTATCAACGAGCTATAATTAATAAATAAATTGAATGGGTATATAACAAAAATCACAACACGTTCAGCGTGACGTACGCACCAACTTTATTTTGCTCTTATATAAACCGTACAATATTTACATGTTCTTTAGGGAGATTCGCAAGCACCCTCTAAAATCGTATTCACGAAAATGATGTAATCGCGAGCTAACCGCATTCGGAATGCGGATGTTTTTCACGAGTCCTCTGTCTCCTTTTCTTTCTCTGTTTCTCTGTCTGCTAAGTCGGCCACGGATCAATGAAGCCGCGAATTTACATATCTTTCGCCACTGCGCGCGTGATTAAAACGGGCGCGTGCGGAATCGATTAGCCGAGAAGTCGGGCGATATAACCGACGCGTAGAACGTATGCCTGCGTTTAAACAACCATGACCAAATAGCACGGAAACGAAAGCGTTGCGACACCTCCAGTGGTCGCTCTCTTTCCTCTTTCTCTCTATTGATTCACGCGATCTATTTATTCTCTTACTCGTAATTTACCGTATATTTACACGCAGCTTTATACATATCACTTGTTAAGGCTCCTGATCTCTCGTCGCGGAATTCTCGATTGATGACGTCAGAGACGAGAAAGTGCATGTCAAAAATTCTCATGAAATACGCTGAAATGAAAGAATATACCCATAAAGTGACTCTTGGGATCGATTAGACACATTCGTAAAATATTTTCTTTCGCGGAGACTCTGGAACTACTGATCAGGATACATATTTTATATGTAGCTTTCCTACGCTGCGCTATTGGATAACTAAACTCGCGGTATCAGGGTAAGGTGGCCACGTTGCTGCATTTTGTATTTGTATTTTGGTTATTACCAAACAAAATATACAATTAATCGTCATATACATAGAATCGTCGCAAGCAAGTCACAACAATCGGTTGTCTAAGAAGTTGTAACTTCGAAATTCTGAAATATGATATATCTAGCTCCGGCCTCCTCTGTTCCGCAAAAACTTTGAGCATACGTTTTCTTATTTCTAATGGGTCATGGGTCAAGTTGGTTATATCAAAGACACAGGAACCTCAAGTTATATCGAGATGCACGCGCAGCGCGGTAAATACTCCTGAACACGAATCGGTTTTACATCGAATGGGTGGAAACGCGATCGAAAACATTATAATAAATTAAATCGCCGCAACGGTATCAATAAATAACTTACCGGCCAGCAAAGCGCAACGTGTTTAATTATTTTATGGGGATCTAGCAGAAAGTAAGAGAGAGAGAGAGAGCGCGGACCCGCCTGTTCACCGGTTTCGTTTCATAAGCGGATATCTCCGCGCGCGCGCGCCCCCGCCAAGCGGATCGCTATTCATGTCTCCGGTCGCTTTGTTAGCTCTTCTAGCATCGCACTGTGTCGTAGCGGCGCTTTCCGCCAAGTACTAATTATACACAGCACGACGTTACCGCCACGCGAAGGCGCGAGTAGTACCCGTAATGCACCGTAAAATACGACTTGTACTTTCGTGGACTCCATTACGCAGGTAACGGACGTGCTTGTTACCGTTGTGCGAGATTATCGCGGCGTTAGGTATCCAGATTAAGCGGCATAATATCATTTTCAATATGCAGCCGGAACTTGCAGTCGCCACTATTAATCCCGTTGATATCAGGTTGTCTCTGGAATGCACTACTTGCAGTCTTTTGCCGTGGAGATAAATAAAAACACGAATTTCTCGTTTCTCGCGCCGTTTCTCGTTCTATAGAACTCTCGCCGTTCATATCAATTTTGTACACTACTCGCTACGCTATAGGAACCAATTTCCAAAAGAATATTTCCCCACAATCGTATACTGACCCTCGGAATTTTTAATTCACATCGCGTCAATCGTTTCTTTCCTTGCTCTGTGTTCCGCGAACTTGCCGTCGTTTTGTCCAATAAAATTCACGGAAGGTAAACGTATCATCATACAATTTCAATTGTAAGAAGAACCTATTGTATGCAGAAACCACTTTAGACGTAATGGCTTGTTCTTACGTCGATAGCCATATATCTAATGCTGATCTGTAATACGCTCATTGTAAGTTCAAGTTTACAAGCCGTGACATCCGAAACTTTGACCCTCATTTCCTTCGTGCTGCCATCTTTTTGTCACTTCTTAGTTGTCGATGTTTAGTAGTAGAAGTAGGTGATATAACCTGCAACAAAAAGAGGTTCGCACTTTAAATTGCTTTAAATATTTTCTCACCATACGGTGATCAGAGAATATAATAACGTCAGACGAATATAAAACCAGAAAATTTAACGACGAATTTTTTCGTAAATTCTTCTCTGACAAGATTTGTCATGATGACAATGAATATTTCATGAATCATTCTTAATCATCATTAATATAAATTTATAGCGCGTGTACCAAGAGGGAGAGAGAGAAAGGGAGAGGGGATGTTAGAACTATTCCTGCTCGTTCATCTTTCATTTCACTCTCGAGAGCGCGGGCGAACCAAGCAAGGAAGATTAACTCCCGCTTTTCCAGCCGCCTGCATTTCCGCTGAATCGAATGCTTACACCGACGGATTCCGGCAGATTCTTCATCATCGGATCGTGATAAGATCGCTTTCAAACTTTCTCGATTTCCCTCGCACGACCAAATTTTGGTCCCTCTCTCCCTGTCTGCCTCTCTTCCTCCCTTATTTTTCTCGCGTTACCCCTTTCCGACGAAAATCTCCTCGCGTAACTCGCATTTGCCGCCAGGAATTCTCACCAGCGCGAGATTCGTCCGCACAAAATGTCTCGTCTGATTTTCATCTACGATTGCCGCCAAAAGTCCCATTCGAAGCGCTAATATTCGGAACACCTGAACGTCGGTAATGAGTAGCGAGGGTGATACCACTTCAAAGCTGCTAATTACAAGACCCTCGTCACCTTGTCTTGCCCACCACGCGACGACACTGACCTCATCCCTCCCGTATCTCCGCCCTTTGATTAGTAAGTACTCGCTTTTCCGGTCCCTCACTACACGCTCGCTCTCATGAGACGTGCGTGCGAGCGTCAGTGCGAGGTCGTACGTGGCGTCGATAATAAAGCCGACCGCGAAACGAACGGGGGATCCGAATGGAAGCCATTAGGGGCCGAAAGGATTTTGCCCGCCCTGATTACAGTCAATTTAAACGCGAGGACGTCCCGACAATGAACGGCGACGTTCCGAAATAATCGTCGGCAAACGACGACGACGAACAAGCCTGGCTTGAAATTGGCCGGAGAGATCGAAGCGTATATTTTGCGATATTTCGCAATCGCGCCGCGTTTTTCCCGCTTTCGGCGCACCACGGGCCCGGGTGATATCACTTCAAAATTATATTTACTGAGTTACGTTAGTCGCGTGCGCATGATTCATAGCTTTCACTCGCTTATTAGGTTTTATTACAGTACTCGTTGAAAGATATGTTGAGATACTCGTTATGAAAACCGTGAAAAATCGTCGTTAAGCAAGGACTATAATTGACGACAAAGTGCAGCGTACGAATGAATTGCACGTTGAAGTGGGCAATATGTCTCGTCGCCGGAGTCCTGTCGATACAACCCGCGGTCGATTAGCCAAGTGTACCGGAACGTAACTTTTATATCTCGAATCACATTGTAAAACTTTTTCGCGGTTGCGCGAGACGCCTCCTCGTCCTCCGAGCGCTAAATTAATGTCCCATGAAAAAGTATTTAACGGAGATATCGTTAAGTTACGAGTTCGTTCCGCGGGGAATACCGACGAAACGAGAGTTTCGGGGAGAATTCGTTTTTCGCGCCCTCCTTTCAACCCCGAGATAAATTCCCGTCAAGGACGCCCGGAGGGGTCACCGGTTTTTGCGTGTCGCGTAATTAAATGCGGATCGTCGGGTTTAATGACTATTAAGGGGAACGAATGGCCGTTTAACCTAGAATGTTACCAGCTTTAGGTTTAGCCGCGCGAAATTTACGACGCCTTGTTATCGGGCGCGAGATACGATCGTTTTTAATGGGCGAACACGGAAGGCCGCTCTTATTTAGAAATAAGAACCATCGCGCGGGCGTTACTCATCGAACGGAAATTGCTCTCTCGCGAGTTGCATCAATGTTGCCGGCTCCTTTTCAGCTTTATCCAGCGATTTTGCTCAGTGAACGCGAAGCGCTCGCCTCCAGCGGCTGAGAGGCTTTATTTCCTGCCACATAATTAAATTATACTTTGCGCTCGTTATCCGCTAACGGGCGGATTAATCTTCAAAATTGTCCCGATAAAATAGCGGACACCTTAGCTACAATCTCGGGTCCCGCTTTCGGGCTTGCCTTCCTTGCGCTCCCCGCCGCCCTTAACGCGTTGCGACGTTAATCACGCCGGTTGCCGGCGAGATTTACGTTCTCTCTTGCGCCGTGCGCATTAACGAGTGCAAAACGTTGTAAAGCGTGAGGTGCACAGGCTCTCCCTCGATATCCGCCGCGTGTTCCTAGGGAGAATTTATGCGCCCGCCATTTACATCTTTTGCGTTGTACGCGAGTTTTAATATCGTCAGCGTATCGCTTCTCATTAATTTTTACAGAACCATACGGAATATTCGATAAATCGCGATATACGAGGTGAGTCCTTTCTGCAAAGAAGTCAAATTGTCGAATTTTTTAGATTGGGATAATTTGGAAATTGAATTTTTTGGATTGGGATAATTTGGAAATTAAATGTGCTTTGTGCCCATCAGTTTGTGACACAAAGTTTGGCTTAAACAAATTATTAAGAATGTTTCGTTTATTTTTCGCTAGTCTTTTTTCCTATTTTACAACTTTCTCAGTGTTCCATGTAAAAATGATATATACACTGAGAAAAAAGTACTTGAAGATTTATTTATGGGATACAGGGAAAAAGAATTCCAGTTTGGTATTCCAGTGTAACTGAACGGGGGCCAGATGCAAAACTCCCTGTCGAGGAATAATATTTTTGTTACCGTGACCGAAAACTTTCTTCCGAACGTTTAGTTGCGCTAAAACTCGGTTGAGATAACTGAGAATAATTGGCAGAAATCTCCTACAGGAATCTTTTTTGTTCTTACAACCGAGTTTTTCATCTAAGATTCTCAGGAAACAGAAAATTCAGCTACAACTAACCGTTAGCTACAGCTAACGGAGCTGTTTTTGTTTTTTATGTATAAAGTTTATCTTTATGAAATAAAGTTTATTTCTGCGAATAAGCTTCATATCCCACAAATGAAGAATGCAACCAAGCCCAATGTCTATGGACATTTCACCTGGTTTTGGAGTCCTCGATAGTGACAAAATTTTTTTACATACGATTAAAGTACATTTCGATTCCAAATATGTAACTCTCTAATCTCTTACTGTTCTGTACTGGAAGTTTCCGCTATTTCGACCTGCTATGTGCTATCGGATAATTAATTATCGTCAGTCACTAATCAGTCAAGATTTCATTGATAAATTCTATATCAGCGTTGTTTGACGACAAACAGTAATTTTGCAGCGCATGTCATACGCAGTTGAGTTAGCTGCCACTGCCAGCTGATACTGGTCTTTGTTTGCATGGCACCATCTGTTGAAATCGAAACTCTTTCAGGCCATTTTTCTCGAGAACGATAAGAGGCTCAGATCAGAGAATTATATATTTGGAATCGATTCAATACGTGAGCTTTAGTTGTATGCAAAAATACTGTCATTGTCGGGCCCCAAAATTAGGCGGAACTTGACCACCCTCTTTTCAAATATTTTTTCTCTGTATAGTAATTTATGAGATAGTATCACATAGAAAAAATGATACATGATTCTTCCCTGAATTGGGCAATTATTTGTCAGGGAAACATATGTCGGTTTCTGGGAACAAAGCTTTATTGCGTAGAGAGCTGATTATATCAGTGCGTTCACGCATGACATGTGCGCGGTTACGCTCCCTCTGCGTTTCTTGCGCTGAATTTCTCAGACGCGCAGTAGATTGCCTAATTCCGAAGTTCGTGCTCCTTCCGTCGACCGATGGTTATGAGCGCGAGTGACCATCTGACATTCTCGAGGGGCATCGCGATCAGAAACACCTGTTAACAAATACGCGGCCAAAATCGCGCATGCCGCTGCCGTTCTTTTCTCGGTGTCGCAACACCTGCCGTATTTTTACGGTCACGGTTATTACAGTATCGAATTTAGTTTCTCCAATCGAGAGTGTTCTCGCTACTCAATAGGTGCGCGGAATTTTTCAACGATGTGGCATATACATCTTACATAATTTCTCCAATTGAAAAGGTATCTACTTTACACGTGCCATATATCGATCATGTATCTGTCGACTTTCGCCTGCGCTGAGAAAAGAACACCATAGTTGGACTCGAAAGGATCAGCGAATCAGGAAATAAACAGTGCGAAAAGTGAAAAAAATAGAAAAAAGAAGAAAGTTCGGCGCGTTTATGACAATGCAAATGCGTCTCCAATGAATGAATTAATGTCTGAATGCACATCTCCATCGCGTTATTTGATATTGTAATTTCATTTTTGCTTCTGCTCACGACTGCTCAGATGCACGACAGGAGACACGACTCGCGCGTCTGAAAAAATCGATTGAACTTGACCGTGCGTGACCGGCGCGTTTACCGATGCTGTTAGAGACAGGACGAAACGATCGTTGATTCTCGTTATTCCGTCTTTGTCTCTCCAGCGGTAGCTGTAACGCGTCGTCCAACCAAAAAGGCAACCTTGTCGCCGACGACCTCGTAACACCTGTTACGCGCAGTGGAGTAACTTAAGTAAGGTTACGCGTAAACGAGTTTCAGCCACGAGATAGCGTCACGACGCGAAATCGCTTTCACTGACCCGTCGCGGATGTTGGTGCGTGTTCCAAGGCTGAAGAGAATCCTCCGTGCGAGAAAACCGGTATCCAGCTGCGTGGTTTCGCGGAAGAAGGAAGTACAAGGTGCTACTGCGCGCGCCTTTTCTCTCGCACTAATTTGTTCTTCTCCTCTTTTTCTCCTTCTTCTCTCTCTCTTTCTCTCTCTCTCTCTCTCTCTCTCTCTCTCTCTCTCTCGACCATTACGTTTCGTTATGCTTCTTGATGAGTCTATTTCGATAACGGTCGAGTGCGCACAAGTGCAAAGGACGACGCGAGAAATGAAAGCCGAGCGCGCACTTAAATTACCGGAAGAAACGTCATCTTCTATCTCGTCGCGGAAATCGGAGATGCGTTTGCGCAAGGACACCCGGCTCCATGCCTTGGTCTCGCGATATTTTTGGCTCGATTTCTAAATATAGAACCCGCGGTCGGCCCGAGTGCGACCGGGCGGCGACGGGTAAGCGGCTCGTTGGATAGCGCGCTGACAAGGTTAATAAGATAACGATCCAGCGAAAGTCTCCATTATCGAGAAAAAAAGAGAAGAAAATGGTTCATGCTTACCGCTCTGTAATTACGGGCGCAAACGGAGGAAAACATTTATTGAACATTCGCTGCTACATTTACAGAGTCCAATTACGACCATATCTTGGTAGACATTAAGCACACTTTTTTTTTTCTGTAAACTTACCTGCGGTCCGTGATATCGTTTTGCTTATCTGCTAGTGCATTTCTGTCACGATGCATGCTACGGTGCACGTTTTACCGGTGGCTAAAGTGAACCCCGCGTACCACCACTGCATTAGTCAGCTACGTCGCGGTTTACGATCTCGAGATCGATCCGCACGGGAGTGGATTCGTGAATGGGTAGCGACCAGAGCGAGAACGTCGGAGGAGTTAAAGGCTTGGCATGCTCGCGGATATTAAGCAATTACGGCCGCACACCGCAATGCCGTGCCGTTCGTTTTCTCGAAGGTGTAATGAGAGGTGCCGCGATTGTCGTCCTCGACGCGGCCGCGTCAACGACGAGATACCATTTAACACGATCGCAAAACGACGTACCTGCTGCTGTGATTCGAGGATCGAACGTTGGGGAAGTAACGGATTCGACCTTCGCGCGAAGGCAAAGGCCTAATGGGGAGAAAATGTTGTAAACCTTTTGCGGTTTGCCAATCTGACGCGATATTCGCGCGACCACACGGTCGGTTGGGACAGTTTTATCTTTCTTTTTTTGTTGTTTCTTTCGTAAAGCCGATTTCCGTTACATAACACGAGGGAGGAGAGGTGAACATTCGTACAACGTTTGTGCGCGTACGTCGGATTTGCGACGCTTATACTCTTGCTAGTTTTATTAATTTACAGCGTATTCGTATATTATCGTAACACCCTTAGCAACTACACACGGAGTGCTCGAACAGTCACGCGGCGATTCATCGACGAGAAATCATCGTGCCGCATCTCGCTGTGATCCATCGCACAAACAACGTCGTACTTGCGCGGCTTGACATTGCATCGCGCGTTGCACTGTGGTTGGCGCGTTAACACTTTGAGACCGGCGACAAGCAGCAGTGCCGTGCTGTATTCAAATCGCCAACGAGCCAATTAGGTTGCTACAATTAGGATTGCGCGATTTTCTCCCCTGTCACACAATCCGAACAATCTACCTAAGACTCCTCGCGTGAGACACAGACGAATTTTCGTCGGGCAACATCAGAGCCGGGCCGAAAGTGTTAACGTGCGCGTCAGCCTCGCGTGACTTCTCGAGCAACTCATAGAACAATAAACGTTAACTAATTATTGTAATGTCGCGCATGCACGCACAATTAGAGTCCGAGGTGCTAGAATGAGGAAGGATGAACGCGTGTCATCGACGATGTTATTGTCAACATAATAAATAGTGCTTATACATAAGTCAAGTGCTCAAATGGAGGACGTGGGGGAATGGCAGGATAAAGGGGGCGGGGGAGGGGGGCAGGGAAGGGAGGGTGAACGAGGTATCGCGTGATCACGAGTGTGCAATTATTTTTGCCTAAATGCGCCTAAGTATCTCCCTTTCCATTTCTGTATCTATATATATATATATATATATCCCTTTTTCGCATTCTGTGATCCTTTCGCGCGGTTTCGGCGGCTCTTTGGGCTACCTCGCATGCAGAGGCCGGTCACGTGAGAAGGCTCGTCGACTCGTGCATTCCACCACCGATCCCTTTCAACAATTCCCTTTGTTTTTTGTTTTTTTTTTTTTTCGTGCGATGCGCTTTTCTCTCTTTCTCTGTTTCAGGTGCATCGTGATTTGTTTCGAGTCTCAGAACCTGCCCAAATTACCTGCGCTGGGTGGCACGAATCCGTATCCGCTCGCGCCCACGACGACGCCGCTGGTGTCAGCCGAGTTGGGTGGTGGTCCAGGTGGAAATAATACCGGACCTGTGCGGAAGGAATACCCATGCGTTAAACACAATCGCTCTTGCAGTTCTGAAAGCCGCGTATCGCATTGCTCTCGCGGCTCTGAAAGCCCCGCGTATCATTCTCACAATTGTACGTCGCGGTAAAAAAAAAATGCAAATTCTATCTCATTTTGTGCTTTTTTTCTTTTGGCAAATATAGCCGAAGCCCCGGGGCGGTACTCTGAGGCGCGCAAGAGGAAAAATACGCGAAACTCTTGGTATAATTTCCGTTGCGAAGTCTCGACCATTGTTCCGACGATACCATCGATCAATGACTCGTAATCGAATATTATAGTACAATGGCACTCTCGTTTCAAACGTTCGCCGCCGGCGAGCTTGATAATCGACGGAGATATCGAGTGGCACTTAATACAGTAGACATCCGTACATGGGAACCATTCGATTCTTATCGATATTGTTCAAGGAAATTCGATTGAGAGTCGATTGAGCGCGTGGATCGATTATGAAGATCAGTAGCTTTCACGGTCATTGGCAACGCAATGGTGCGATTAATGATATGGTAAAGTAAACAGTATCATCAGCGCATTAGAAGTCATTTCGGGGAATTTTGCTAAAGTCCAGCTACGCGTCCGCACTGAAATTATCCGATAAAAAATTAACGAACGAACATCTCCAATCAAAATATCGATGAATTTTCGTATCCGATCAGTAAACAATGAAAAATATCGGTTCATAATTTTTTGATCGATTTATCTGATAAAATGTCATTACGATCGGAAGTATCCGATTAAATTTAATTAGATATCCTAATCGGATATAAAAATTTATCGGTATTTTGATCGGAAATATTTGTTAATTTTTTATCGGATAATTTCTCTCAGTGCAATGCGTAAATGCCACTTTTACAAGTATTCCATCATTTTTTACGTCAACTTCGAAGTTGACAAAGACACTCTTTCTATAGAGTGAATGAATAACTAGGAGAGCTACCTTGAATATCTTCGAAGCAAGAAACAAAGGTGATTTTTCGAGATTTTCGAAGCTATTCTACTTAGCCCCAGTTCCACAACATTCGGTTAACTTAACTGATCGATTGTCAATTTGACAATGATTGGTTATTTCTGGTCAATTCTGCTTAACAACAAATGTGATTGATCAATTCCAATGGAATAACCAGTTGGTTAACCGGGAGTTGTCAAACTGGCCCTTAGAAGACAAGCTTCTTATGAAATTTTGAAGATCTTACTAACTTTTTGTAGTTATGCTTTTTGTGGTTATGCTTTTTGTTTCGAAGATATTTAAAATGGCAATAATAATTGGCTCATCTTGCATACACAATCGATTATAATCTTTGCAGTACATCGAGAGACGTGCTGGCAGCATCGTCAGTTATCACTGACTGTCACGACGACACTTTAATTCTTTACTGTACATTTTCTTACTCCTTTAACATTTCCAGGAAATTCACGCGAACTGCTGTCATTATTCTAACGGATAATGCTATGGGAAGAATAACTTCAGAAGTGGCTTTAAAGAAACAGCTTCATCTGACAACGTCCTAAACGATAATTATTTTAAGATCACTCATAATTAATCGTGCAACCCTTGCAACACTTAATAAACCACCGTTTGATAATAGCATTATTGCGCGTTGTGTTACGTGGCATTAAAGGAAAGTTGTAAGGAGTAGTGGCAAACCTTTCTAACATGAGGAAGTCGTTTTCTTCGTGTCCGTATTATTAATCGATCTGCCGACGATAGATACTATCTATCTGGACATCTAAACTCAGCATAATTATTTTAACGGCCATAGCGCGCAAGCAACAAACGCGGCTCTTTCCTTATTTTTCTTCTATTATTCGCGACTAAGCGGTAACATGATAAGCTGAGTGCGTTCGCGCGCGCCTTCACCATATAACCGCTATGAATATTCAGCAGGAGTTGAAGAAACAAAGAAAACCGGACGATTTATTTGACTAATGTGGACTACCAACGTTATCCCAATGATCACGGGCTCTCTGTCAGCGGCAGCCTTAATACGACGACGGTTGTCGAAGCGAGATAGATATTGTCAGAAACGTTAATCTTTCAGCGCCGCAATGTAATTTGTATTTGGCAATTATTATCGGCGCGCGAGAACTGACATCTGATAATTCGCGTGAACTAGATAATAGTATGAGCGTATCGTTAAGTTAGATAAGTTAGATAGCAAAATGATACGTTCTACTATGGCGCGTAAGTCGATCAGTTTTCACGACGGCGAGTTAAAATGTGATTTATGTAGCACGAGCTACTTCGCCCGCTACCCCGTCAGACGCATAGTACACCGTGTTATTTATTGTAGTCGATGTTGAACTTGACACTCATTCCAACGGCGTTATGCTCATAACGCTCGAATGGGCTGCAAGGATCGCCCGCTCGTGTGCGAGCCGCGTCATTTAAATAACAAGTAACTCAATTAACTTGGGAAATTGAATGAACCTCGTGAGATATCGTGCTATCCTTGGAACGCAAGAGATCATGAATCATTTTACGTGTCGAGTGAAAAGAAATATATACATGAAACTAACGAAGAGAATAGATGACGCTTTGTAAGCACGAAGTAATTGTGTCAGTATGACATTTACAATTAACAAAGAATCGCGTAAAATAGATCTAGTTGCTCTGCAAACATTAAAAAAATGGTCTTGCAGTCATGTCGAAAATTATCTAGATATAAGGAATTATGTAAAATGGATAAGTGAAAAAATTAAATGAAGTAGTGAAGAAATATTGAAAAAATAAGAATATTGAAAAAATTATAAAAACAATGAAAAAATTAGATTAAATAATGAAGAAATATTATTGAGGAAATAATAAAAATAATTAAGAAATTAGGTAAGATGGATGGAATGACCAGTAAATAGCCAGCAAGCACTGCGATATCACTGCGATATTTTGTATTTAATCAATGTAGAAACTACTTGTGAAATTTAGCAAGAAGGCTTTTCTATGTCGCTCATTCAAATTCAAACTGGTCGATACTTCACATAAAAATTTACTATAGTATACAAAAAAAACTAGCGATGAGAGGCAAACGAATGTACAATCCTCACACCCCCACCAAAATTTGTTTGCTATACATTGCCAGAATACTATTGCTATAAATTCTACATTGTGTCACAGACAATTTTCTAGCGGACACAAAACGCAGCGATAAATTTTAACATTTAGAATTCTACCTGGAGCAGCAGAATATATTTTTGAGTGAAAGATACCACGATGAAGGTCGATGTTTCCGCGCTAATTTGCAATCGAGAGCGACGTGGCGCTACATCACGAAAAATTCCCCGCAATTCGCGATGTTCAAGGTACATAAACGCGAACGGCTCGCCTTTCCTTTCGTTACGCGTACACGTGCTCGAGCAAATTTCTAGTTAGCCGCGCTCGGTTCCGGTAAAAGTTCTCCATACCGTCCGGGCAAGGTAGGTTCTGTATTAACAGCGAAGCTAGCACCATACGACTCGATCGTTCGGGCTCGTTCTTCTCGATTGCAATCAATCATTTGATTATACGACACAGCGTACTTCGCAGAGCATTCCTTTTGTATCTCGGATCTTTACGGCTCAATGAATGTAGCTGTCATAAAAACACTCTTTATTACGTTGACAATCTTAGAAAGAACATAAGCAAATGCTGCGCGAATTTAACAGATCGTAGCAATTAATCTTCTGGAAAGAGAAAAAAAATTTTCGCACACACGAATAATTATCTCAATACTTCGTTCTCCTGACATTGAAAATGTCGTCAGATAAATTACGACTGTTAAAACATTCCCAGATAATCAGTTTCTAATTTGCCACAACCGTTTGTTTGCTCAAATACCTGAGATTAGGAATCAATTCAGTTCAATTTTCAGTTATCAACTTTGTATAATTGCGGGGAATAAAATGGAAAAGACAATAATAATAAATTACTATTATTACCTGATCGCGTATTTTTATGTTGGAACGAAAGTTGCGAGTTATTGCATAAGCGTGTACAAGCAATATCCTAGTTTGATTGTTATTTGTTATAAGTGCAACGTACCGCGTCAAGGTTTTTCATATTAATGCAATAATGAGTGAAATGCCGATTGTCATAATTACGCGTTGTTACGTGTCCCGATAACAACGTAAGCGGGAATCCATTTCCGACATATTTCTCTCGCGTTGAGGAAGAACTTTCGAACGGTCGCGGAATGCCGAGCGAGCAGTGATCTCGGAATGTCTACCGTTATTTTGCAAATGAAACGAGGCCGTGCCTTAGCGGCTATGCAAATAGAGAAAAGCGTAATAACAAATTGTCGTAATTGCACGATTCCCGGCTTCCTGATAACGTGGAAGATATCCAGGCGGCAGAACAAACGCTTCCGAAGCGCACCGGTAAATCTCAACGAGCACTTCGGACGGTCTAATATTAACGTAAGAACGAAAAAGGAGATTCTAATTGTCTCGCGGCTAACGGCCGGTTCGAGTAATAATACGTCGACAAAATCATCTCCTTCGGATTATGCAAATTGACTGCGCTAACAAAAGTGCAAAGGTTACCTTAGAAAATAATAAGCTGTATCAGATTGTATTCCTGTTCAAACAATTAATAATTTTATACTGCGACAAAATATCAATGATAATAATAATAATAATAGGTTTAGTCCCGAGTCAAAATTTTGATTCTACTTTCAGCCTCAACATTCCATTCAACACCTATTTTGACGCTAAAGAAACTGAAAAGGAGAATTTCAGATATCAGAGACAATGTAGGAATAAATTGTATCATTAGAATTAGACCTACTTTGCTAACTTAACTCCTACTGCGTTGTAAAATTGAAGACTTAACGTAGCCAAAATATCGACTCGGATATATTCTCAGGAATAAATATTATTGCCGACCAGAGAGAAGTAATCTTCTCTGAAAATCGAAGCAAATCGAAACTCCGTAACTGTAGAAACTGTTATTCGTAGAACTGCTATTAGTAGAAACTACAATTTCGCTCGCGTTGCAACAACAATAATTTACCTCTGTTCGATCTCGAATCCCTCATTACCGTGGCGGACTGGATGTAAGGATTAAATCCCGCGAAGAAGTGCCTGAAATTCTGCGCCGAGACGCTCGCCAGGATGGCCATGACGAATGCGACTAGAACGATCTGCAATGAGGAAATTCGTAAATTCGCATCTTGCCTGTGTGAAGTATTTCGCAAAAGTTGCATCGAGTTTCGAAAGTGTCTTTCTTGCTAATCGCGGGGTCGGATTTTTCTCTGTGTGGATAACTTAAGCGAGATATAATCAGGACGTCGTTTAACAAATTCACACAGTAACAAGAGAAATCCGCAGGACGGATAGCAAACCTTTGTCTTATATAGATAAGTTTGCTCGTGAAAATTTCCCAATCGCAACAATACCTCATCTTAATTTATAAATTGGCAAACTCGTTGCGAAAGTAGACGCGATACACGCGCGAAAAGAAGCAGCGCATCTCCGACATTACTGCGTTTTTGAGCCCCGTTCACTTTTGCGCCACGTGGCGAAATGCGATTGTTTCTTGCCAGTCGCAAACACAGAATCGAAAAAGTACACAGTCGTGAAGTAACTTTACTTAATGAACGTTCGCATCTAATGAACGTTCGCACTTCTCTTCGGTGATTCCCATAGATCCAGATCAAAGATGGATATGAATGTACGTTTCGTTGCTCACGTTTCGTGCGCTTAAGTTGTTGGTTATTAATTGTAATAAAGAAGACGCGAGGAGAGGCGTCTAATCAAGTGGGTTCTCATGCGACGCAACAGCTGCCTGGCTGCATGCGTTGGCTTGCAACGCGAACGAGCGGCTGAGCGATCAAATCGAAGCGCGCGAACGACTTCGCCCGTTACATCTGTCCAAAAAATGACGGTCATTACGATAATTGTCCGTATTTTGCGGCAAAGAGCGCGCAGATCTATCTTGTCAGGTGCTAAATAATGACACTACCCAGATAATGATACTAAGTATAGGCTTTAAATTATCGCGATAGGCTATAAGCGGGCACAGTCGCGCGTCCCCGTTGAAAATTGCGCCTTGTAAAACATCGGAATTATATCCCTCCGCTTCCAATCTGACGGCTGTGCGCTTTCTGATCTTTGAAGTTATATCACCCGTGACGAAGGCGCGCGACAATTTTTATGGCTGATCGATCGCCGACCACACGCTTCTAATAACGCTATTTCCACCCAGAGCCCGACGAAATTTACGACCCTGTAACGCATTTTTCGAGACGGCTCCTACGTGGAACATTCACACAAGCGGATATACATTCTCTGTCAACATTTTCGTCCCATCGACGCGTCTTCGCACGCTCGCCTCAGAATCGGACTTCGGTAGTAAACAGCGCGAAAAGAACCTATTTCTTACTAGTTTTGTCGACCTCTCATTAACGACACTTTCAATTTGGTTTACTAGCGACAGCCCTTGTGATTTTCGCGATTCCTGTCTCGTAAGGTAAAAATTAGATCTCGGAAGTGAAATCGGGTAACGTAGAAAACTGACAATCACCCGCACGCCCGTCAGGTATCCGTTGTACACGGGTAAGAACCGGTTCCGCGAGCACTTGATATTTGCCACTATTCTGCCGAAGAAACGATAGAATAATGACAGCAGATCAAAGGAAGAGATCAATTGATTTCATGCCGCGAGTGTCGCGGCTTAGGTGCTTGCTGAGACTCGCGAATTTTCAGAAATCAGATCCCAAAGAAGGGTCGATCGTGCATATCTCGTCGAGTATTATCGCCTGAAGCACACATTGGGTGAACGTTTTTCTGTTCCCCCTCTCAGTAACTTACCAAAAATTAAAAAAAAAAAATTTCTAAATAACCTTCGGAAATCGCTCTCCGAAGGTTGCGCCCAGCATATTTTTAGTAACAAATCCGCTTTTCTCGCGCATGTGCAATGCGACATGCCGTACATACAAGCATGTGTCAACGTATGTCTGTATCAGTGATACGTACATGCAGTACACATTGCCACGCAAGTTGCATTCCAGACTTCTTGTTCCCCAGTGTACATATTCGATATATGTATATACAGAGGGTGTCATAATTCATGACACACCCATTGTCTGCAGATAGAACTTATCAAACTGAATAGAAAATTTCTCCACCCTTTCTCTTCTTTAATCTTTACTTTTTTAATTAATAACTAAAAATCTACGTAGTCATTTGCATTGTCTGCAGGTAAAACTTATCAAACTGAATAGAAAATTTCTCCACCCTTTCTCTTCTTTAATCTTTACTTTTTTAATTAATAACTAAAAATCTACGTAGTCATTTGCATTGTCTGCAGGTAAAACTTATCAAACTGAATAGAAAATTTCTCCACCCTTTCTCTTCTTTAATCTTTACTTTTTTAATTAATAACTAAAAATCTACGTAGTCATTTGCAAAATGGTAGGGAACTTTTTCGTTGAACTTGATCTAATGTACAAGTACACGTCGGCAGACGTCGCTATCACAGTTCATCTGCCTATCTCGCGTGATCATTCATCAGTCTCCTCTGATTAATAATCCAAGATTTAATTTACGAGTTCATTGGTGAAATAGTAATAGTGTTCAGTTTGATGAATTCTACACGGAAAAAAAGATTTGCTAATATATGGACAACCAAAAATATTAACTGCAGGAGCAAATTTTCATAGCAACTAAATAACTTTGCTATAAAAGCAAGAAAATTTGCTCCTGCAGTTAACATTTTTAGTGTCCATATATTGACAAAATTTTTTTTTTTCGTGTACCTACAGATAGAATGGCTGTGTCAAACATGTGAATTGTCAAACATTCTATATACTCTATATCGAAAATTTAAATATTCGTATTTAAGCCAAAACAATGAATGTCCAGAGTTAGGTATTAGAGTGTCTGGGCATATCAATGCTCTTGCCTCAAACGTCTTTTATTGGTCCTTGAGTTTTTACGGATATAATACTCGTCTGGAACCTGTATTTCTCGATCAAAACGTAGTTTCGCAAGGAAATTAATGTCACAATTCGATTAAGCGAAGCAAGCCAGGAGAACGCGTCGGTGACGCAAATCGTGCGCGTCGAAAAGACCGTTTTCGCGCCGTAAATTTCGCAGTGCTTGCGCAAACTCGAGAAAGGAGGAGCAACGGGACGATTCACGGGGGGCAGAGCTACTTCTTCGTCCCCTCGAGAGCGTCCCTTACGTAAAGCTTGATGAAATCATTACGCCCGATTTACGATCCTCTCGACGATCTCCTCGAAGCGTCGAACGCGTCGGACAGTCGACGCCGAAGGACACCGTTTCCTCGGACGCAATTACGGTGCCGGCTTTCCGAGGTAATCGCGGCTAAAGGTTATTTCAATTGTGCGATCGGTGCAATACAAGTGGTCTGCGGTTCGTTCGTCCGCGCGATTTCTGTATCAAAGGCAAGGTGAGAGCCGTCGCCACGGCCGCCTTCTGCGTCGGCTCCTTTTTACACGGTTTTCTTTCACCGGTCCCCAATGTCAAGGCGAGTATCCTCAGATGTAGCTATCTCTCTCTCGCCTCAGAATTTCGAGTGAACACGCTGAGCGGTGAACACGCGCGACACACGCTGGGTCTTTCCCAACCGGAATCTTGTTGCAAGCCGACCGCGCGCGCAACGCGAACGTTCGAGCACGAATCTCTGGAGATCGTCGAGATTTCCGTTTAATGCTGCTGGGCCGTCCGAATTCTTGGGTTTCTTCGCGGTTTGCACGGCGCCGGCGCGAGTTTTGCGTGCAAGAGCGCGCGACAGCCGGTGCCGTTTCACCGGTGGAAAATTAATGGTGAACGTGATCGCGATTAGCTTTATCTTTATTTCTATCAGTTTTCTAATAGTATATGCTGCGCGGGCTCGTTTCACGCTCGACATTTCGACGTACAATTCTGGGCGTCCGGATCATTATCTCACGGGCGTAATGCAATAACCGGGCATAATTGATGGATTGAAAGTCGTGCCGCGGCGACGGTGCGACGCGGTTCGAACGTTATTTTGGCCGTACTCTCGTGCCGTTCGACGCGAATACAAGCGAGAAGACAGGTTAATAGCGTAGTCCCGGTCATAAGACGGCGGATTGGCAGGTCTTTTAATTAATAACGCTCGTTAAAAGGGCATGTTCTATCATTTAGAATTTTTTTCGTAGAACGGGACGCACATTTTTTCGCTTCTGATTCTTATTGGCCGCGGTCGCGCGTTTCAAACGTAAAATTAATAAATCTAACCGTATCGACCTCATCAAGAACTGACCTATGGTGCAAAGTAGCCAAGAAGAAATTATTATTATTATTACATATACGGAGAGAATATTATAGTTCCTTTTAATATAAATTCTTTTTAATTTTACTATGGTTTTAGTAATTCAAAAATAGACTGTTAGCAAGGTCCGTCTTAGCAAAGAACATTAGTAAATTTCACTCGAAATACAACAAATTTTTTAAGGGCGTATGTCACATCAAGTGGAAGCGTTATTTTATGGGAAAGCTACAAAGAAGAAAAAGCCAACTTTTTATTATGTTGTGGCGTACGCATTAAAGTGACAAATAGCATTGTTAGTACATTAATATATTGTATATTAATCTGTTGATCTTGTGTTGATTTATATCATGTGTAGTGGTGTCGGAGTTGTTTCTCGAACAGGTGAAATCCCGAAAGAATTTTTCTTTAATAGAATATTGTTTAAAGTGCTACGTCTTCAAAAAATGTAAATTAAAAAATAGCGTAAGTTTGCACAATTAAAAAACATTAGTTTTTTAAATATATTTTTTTAGATATTTCGGAAATTAATGAAGTTAGAAAAAAGCGGCTGCGATACACACGATAAATAATTGTTTTATGAATGGCAAATAACACGTAAAACGCACTGAGAACATAACATGTAAAATACAACGAAAAGTTTGCAACGCGTCTTCGATATACCAATTTATAAAATCTTTTTTCTCTTTACATTTTGCGTGAAAGTGGTGTAAGCTGGACAGGTATTGTGTCAGTTCGCGGTGAGTCACATCGGTTCATCCGAAGCACTTTAATTTTTCCTTCGAGGAACTTAATTTTATTAATGACATCTCTCTCAATGCATATCTCTGGGTAATTCTTCGCGTCGATCCATCGTCACGCGATAACAAAAGTAATTATAAAAAT